CGAGTACGCCGTAACGCTGCTGAGGGGCCCGGCCTTGGAGTGGTGGCGCCAACTTACGCAGACTGCTGTACGGAGGGCTCAGTTAGACGGGCATCAACAGGGCGTGGGGCATGCAGCTGCAACTTCGAGCTTAGGGAGTTTAGCTTTGGGTGTTACCACGGTTCCGACGACATGGGAAGGATTTGAAGCGGCGCTGAAAAGTAGGTTCGATTTGGTGAATGCCTCCGAAGCTGCTAGGAAGCGTCTGCGTCATTTCCGACAGATAGGAAACGTCCAGGAGTACACACGACGGTTCTTGAGCATCTGCAACGAAATAGACGACATCATAGAAGCAGAGATGCGCGATCGCTACCTCGAAGGGTTGAAGCCGGACATAGCGGAGATTATTGCGATTCACGGGTTGTCCACCTTCGAGTCAGTAGTCGCAGCAGCAGAACGCGTCGACGCAGTACGAAGCCGACGGGGTCGTGACGATCGCGATAGGGGATACAACAGACCGATCAACGACGCTCGATCGAGGGACGGACCGTCGCCCATGGAGATTGATGTAGTTAACAGTGACGGCTCACAGCGCAACGGATTTAGGGGGAACTGTCACTACTGCAAAAAGCCGGGACACATGAAGCGGGACTGCCCACAGTTCAAGGAGCGACAGCAGGGAAACGGAAACCGCCAGTAGATAGCGGGTCGCTAGCTGGTGTGGAGGTTCCCGTACCCGCCAGGTCTACCAACGTAGAGGAGACGGCCTCGCAGCAGTCATCTACGCACGGAGTTACTGTTAAGATTCTCGTCGACAGTGGAGCTAGCCACTCGTTCGTTTCGTCTTCATTAGTTAGCCGTCTCCATCTTGAAGCAGATTCCTCAGTCAACTTCAAGGACGCTCGCATGATAGATGGGACGCCTCTCCACATAGGACCAGTCATTCGCAAGTTGCGCGTAGTGCTAGGACCGATCACAGTTAGGCGTGACTTCGACTCGGCGACGTTGGACGGTTACGATTTCATCTTCGGGAGAGATTGGCTACGGACGGTTAGTACTCAGTTCGATTGGGCTCAGGGAAGCTGCAGCGTCAAGGTAGATGGCGAGTTCCGGGAGCTGCCACAGTGGAGCGATGGGGCCACATCATCCACAGCGATCATCAATGCTGTTCGTGTGCGACAGCTGGTGAAGCGAGCGGCACGGATCTTCGCGGTTTTCCTTGAGGAGGTGGAAGCTGAGGAGGGGAAAGGAGGGAGCGCAGCAGTTAGTGAGAAGGCGACTCTTCCTGCTGAGGTGAGTGCACTGTTAGCAGAGTTTGCAGACGTCTTCCCCGACGAGTTGCCCCCAGGGTTACCTCCCAGCCGAGCAGTAGACCATCGAATAGAGTTGGAGCCGGGAAGCAGGCCAGTAGCGAAGCCGCAGTGGAGGTTGAGTCCAGCAGAGACAGAGGAGATGACGCAGCAGGTTAGGCACTTTCTCGCACAGGGGTTCATACAGCCATCTAGATCGCCTTGGGCCGCACCGATCCTTTTCGCGCCTAAGAAAGACGGAGGGTTACGGATGTGCATAGATTACCGCGCACTGAACGCCGCCACCGTCAAGAATAGATTCCCGGTGCCGAGAGTAGAGGATCTTCTAGATGCAGTGCAGGGCGCTAGAGTCTTTTCTAAGATCGACCTTCGTTCGGGTTACCACCAGATTCGTGTAGTTCCAGAGGACCAGCACAAGACGGCGTTTCGTACGAAGCAGGGGTTGTACGAGTTTAGGGTTCTACCGTTCGGACTGACCAACGCCCCAGCGACGTTCCAGACGCTTATGAACACCGTCCTCTCCGAGTTCCTAGGTTCGTTCGTTGTCGTTTACCTAGACGACATACTCATCTTTTCCAAGTCGAAAGAGGAGCACGTGCAGCACTTGCAGAGGGTCTTTGAGGTCTTGCGGAGGGAGAAGCTGTACGCGAAGCAGTCGAAGTGCGAGTTCTTTCTCCCCGAGGTCGAGTTCCTAGGACACGTCGTATCCGCTAGTGGCGTTAGGACCGACCCGAAGAAGATCGCAGCAGTACAGGATTGGGTAGCACCGACCTCAGTCAAGGAGTTGCAGAGCTTTCTCGGATTCGCAAATTACTACCGCCGTTTCGTTCAGGGTTACGCTTCCATCGCTAGTCCACTCACCGACCTACTTCGGAAAGGCGTAGAGTACGTTTGGGGTCCAGCGCAGCAGCAGGCGTTCGAGCAGATGAAGCAGTCGCTCACGTCTTCACCGACACTGTCGTACCCTGATCCCACTCGCCCGTACGTTGTAGTGACCGACGCTTCAGATCAGGCCATTGGAGCTGTACTTCTTCAGGACCAGGGATGCGGGTTGCAGCCGATCGCGTACGAGTCGCGTAAGCTGAGGGGAGCGGAGTTGAACTATCCCATACACGACAAGGAGGCGCTCGCGATCATCCACGCGTAGAAGGTATGGAGGTGCTACCTAGAGGGGGCAGACAGTGTTATACGCACGGACCACTGCTCGCTTCGCTTTCTCAAGTCGCAGCCGCAGCTGAGTCGTCGCCAGGCTAGATGGATGGAGTTTATGGAAGGGAGCTTTCATTTACAGGATAGAGTACAAGCCAGGCGTGCGCAACCCAGCAGATCCGCTCACTCGCCCTAGTTGCCAGCTCGCTAGCCTCACAGTCACTGCCGGCCATCCACTTCTCACAGCACTCTTCGAGCACGGTTACACTGTAGATCCCGACTTCACACCGCAGCCGCCCGCAGGAGCAGAGGTGCAGGGTAGTGTTTACATACGGAAGGGTACAGCACGGATTTGGGTTCCAGCCTACCGCCCTCTTCGACAGCTCCTTCTCTCAGAGGCGCACGACGTAGTTAGTGCAGGTCACTTCGGAGCAGACAAGACGGCTAAGACGCTTAGTCGCACGTACTACTGGCCAGGGCTTGCAGCAGACGTAGAGGATTACATTCGCTCGTGTGACACGTGTCAGCGTACGAAGTCCTCGCGACAGCGCAAGGCAGGACTTTTGCAGCCGATTCCACCGCCCGACCGCCCTTGGCAGGTAGTTACCATGGATTTCATCATGGCATTACCGCGCACAGTTAGGGGTCACGACGCCATCTTCGTTGTAGTCGACAAGTTTTCTCGAGCAGCGCACTTCATCCCCACGCACGGCCAGGTCACAGCAGAGGAAGCCGCGACGCTGTTTGTAGATAACGTAGTTCGACTGCACGGGGTTCCAGATTCGATCATTTCCGACCGCGACCCTCGATTCACCTCAAAGTTCTGGAAGCAGCTTTTCGCACTGTTTGGGACTCGCTTAGCCATGTCGTCTGCGTACCATCCAGAGACAGACGGACAGAACGAGCGCGTGAACCAGACTTTGGAGCAGATCCTTCGCAGCATCACGATGCACGACGCAGCCGCATGGGACAAGAAGCTGAGCATGGCTGAGTTCGCCTACAACAACACGCATCATTCCGCCACAGGCATGTCACCGTTCTTTGCACTGTACGGTCAGCACCCCAATGTCCCCACTCGTGTCGATCTCACACCCACCGTCCCTCGTGCGGACAACTTCCACCAGCATCTCACTTTCATTCATGATCACGTGAGGAAGCACCTTGAGCTCGCAAATGCACGCATGGCACGCACCACCAACCGCAGTCGTCGTGAGGTGTCGTTTTCAGTTGGTGACCGTGTCCTTCTCGATAGCCGCAACCTCCGACTGCCACAGGACAGCAAGCTTCGTCCACGTTTCATTGGTCCATTTGTCATTGAGCGCGCACTTGGTCCAGTCGCATACCGCCTCCGCCTTCCCGCTCATTTCCGCATGCACCCATCATTCCACGTGTCTCTCCTTCGGCCTTACACTGATCCCAACACCACCTTCTCGGGCCGTGATCGCACTCCACTGCCGGTAGCTGTTGACACCGACGAGCCCGACTACCAGATCCAGCGCATCCTCAGGCACCGTCGCCGTCTGCAGGGAGGTGTCTCTTTCATCGACTTCTTGGTTCGTTGGCGTGGTTACGATGCAGCCGACGACAGCTGGGTTCCTTCGTCCTCGCTGTCTCCCGACAACGCTTGTCTCCGAGCGTACCTTCAGTCTGCAGGCGCCGCGGACGTCGCCTCCTTGGGAGGGGGGTAGTGTTAAAGGGGGATTTACTGTTCCCTTTGAACAGTACTTTCCCAACCCATCCAAGTCACCCTTATCCTTATCTTCTCAGATTCTCTAGTGCCACGTGGCACTCTACTTTTCTTGCACTACAATTCTTGGTCCCACAATCCACTTTCCAACCTTGTTTCTTGCATGCTATATAAACCTTGCTTGTATTCCCTCATATCAACCAATTCTCATTCAACTCTTCTTCAATTACTCAGTAACTCCTTCGCCTATTTCGCTAGTAGTTCTTTCGCCAAAGTCTTCCGCCGCGCTTCATCCTCGACTTAGTCGACCCCGCTAATTCTTTAGCGGACTTAGGCCAGCGGGCCTAACACAAGACACATGTGACGCAAATGTAACTTTAGGGCTCACCCACCCGATTCAACACGGGCCCGTGAAAATCGAGGCGCACATTTTTCCATTCGAGGCGCATCACCTCTCGAGTCGCACATTTGGCGCTCGCGCATCATCGTACAATGAGAACGCATCTCTGTCAAACCCGCTCTACACCAGATGCACTGCCTAAACACATTAACCTTTTCAAACAACTTGCCAACATCTACACCTGGTGGACACCACTGATTATGTTAAACGGTATGCAAGATCCACCCAACCAACCGACACATCTGATCATAAGAAGAAAAACCATTTAAGGGGCCACCCCATGTGTCTACTGAATTAGCGTCTATTGCGTCCATATCAGCGCACATGGCCTCACTTGGCCCACCTGTCACGGCAATGGAACAGCCCACCACACTCATTCCGTCAGCAGGAACTTGTTCAGGAGCATGACACGCTTGTTCACATAGGACTTGCACACGTGCACCACCCTCTGGATGCACTCCACAGGAACCACCGCTTATCTTGTTCTCACACGGCCGGGAGACAGCTGCAGGCATGACGTCATCGGGCACGTGCCCTCTGCCTCGTAGTACTTAACGTACACGTGTCGCCCCATCTCCCCATCCGCCCCCTCTGCGCGGAAGATGCAGAGGCACCTGGCATACCACTCCTCATTGTCGGACCGGTACACTGCGATGTCTGAAAACCACTGCTCAGAAGGACTGGCCTTCACAAATGTGCCATTGGGCACAAGCACCCCCCCCCGCGTTCGGGGGATCGCCACGGCTGTGTGCACCTGCGTACGCCGGGACACAGACAGAGTACAGTGGATGCGGTGTGATGGTGACACAAGGCCGTGGCCCAGACTTCACACCTGCTATTACCTTCACCTACTATTAACCATCACCCAGCCACCTTCTCGAACGACATTTCCCACCTCTATGGTGGTGGTGTGGATGCCTGCCGCCACCATGCACCTGGCGAGTGCGTCCATGTCTGACCCGTGAGCTGCGCGGTACGCCCACATCACCGCGTCCAAGTCTTCGTCCACGTGCGCCCTCTTTGAAGTCTTCGTCAGGACTGGCTTCATGCGCCGCACTGCCTGTGTGCACGCAACAACATGCGAGCAACGTGTGAGAACCCGGGTTCAGAGGGCAATCTCCTTTATACAGCACATCGTGGCCCTGGTACACAACCCTGTACGCTCACCTCGTGCAGCGCCGTCACATACTGCCTGTTTCCACCCGCTTCCGCCGCCACCTCCCGTGCAATCTCGCGCTGCACCTCCTCCTCGACAATTCGGCGCGGGATGTCGTGCCAGTTGCTGCCACGGACCGGCACCTTCACGGTCCCCTTGTGCGTGTGCTCCCATCACCCAGCCACCTTCTCGAACGACATTTCCCACCTCTATGGTGGTGGTGTGGATGCCTGCCGCCACCATGCATCTGGCAAGTGCGTCCATGTCTGACCCGTGAGCTGCGCGGTACGCCCACATCACCGCGTCCAAGTCTTCGTCCACGTGCGCCCTCTTTGAAGTCTTCGTCAGGACTGGCTTCATGCGCCGCACTGCCTGTGTGCACGCAACAACATGCGAGCAACGTGTGAGAACCCGGGTTCAGAGGGCAATCTCCTTTATACAGCACATCGTGGCCCTGGTACACAACCCTGTACGCTCACCTCGTGCAGCGCCGTCACATACTGCCTGTTTCCACCCGCTTCCGCCGCCACCTCCCGTGCAATCTCGCGCTGCACCTCCTCCTCGACAATTCGGCGCGGGATGTCGTGCCAGTTGCTGCCACGGACCGGCACCTTCACGGTCCCCTTGTGCGTGTGCTCCCACAGGTTGGTGGATGTCTCGTTCGGCATACCACGCAGTGGTATGCCGTCAATCAGGTGCACAATCTGGTGCACCTTAGGGATGTTCCAGTCCGACGTCTGGTCAGGGAATGCGGCCTTGATCGCCGCCACCATCCTGCGCGGGCGCATAGGAGGCATGATTAGGCACCCCAGGCACACTTGATGCGCCACACACCTAATAGGAGCAACCGGATTGTACGTACTTCACGGCCATCTCCCGGACGTCGTCCAGGGACTTCTCGGTATGCTTTGTCACGCCCACCAGCGCCTTGTAGAAGCTGGCGTACGCCACAAACGCCGCCACCTCCCGTTCCCGTTTCGCCTTAGCCGGCTGCTTGCTCTTCTCCATGTTGTCTGCGATAAGCAGGGGCATCACCTGCATCATTCCCCTGTGCTCGAAAGCGGCGTAGTTCGCCCCTGTGCTGAACCATGTGGTCCCCCCCAGGATGCGCAATACGCTTGCGCGCGTGTCCTTCTTCTGTTCCTTGCGCCGCCTGCCATGGTTGGGTAGGAGTGTTAGCAACGCACTCGGTTAGACAACAACAGTGTCGCCATTTCCATGCATACCCACCTCTCAAACTCGTGCCTCTCCGGCTTGCTCTTCCCAGCCATGAAGCACTTGCCCATGCGTGGTAGCATCCCCCCGTCCAGGACGTGTAGAAGGTCTGCCGCGCATGCGAGAAACACGTTTCCCCACGTGGTCTCGGCGAAGTTCCATCTTTCCAAGTAGCACTGCCACACGCAAAGACGACCCGAATGTGACCAGGCGCTACTTCGCCCCCCCGTGTGCACATTCACATGAGGAAGCACGAACACATTATGCATAGGAAACCCCCACCTGCACCGGGTGTGTTGACCATTGTTTCTTGATTTTCTCCGCCACCTTGCTGTCGGTTGCCGACTGAATTGCTTCCACGACCCGTCTCTGTAGCTCCACCGTCCGCGTCACCGACTTATGCGACAGGTTTGCCAGATGTGTCTCCTTCATGTAGCAGGTAGAACACGGCCGATGTGACCCTTGCTGCAGAGTCGCTGTAGATCGAGACGACTCTGGGAAGTCCCCCAGCTGCCCGAAAAGCAGGGAAAGGCCTTCACCACCTTGCCCGTCGCGTCCGTCACATAAAACCATCACAATTCGGCCCTGCACACGGCGACATTGGAAGTTGTACACTTGTAAGTCATATCATGGCTGTCAAGCTCCGCTTCTAGGCCCGCTCACCCTCTGTGTGCGCGGAGTAGGGGCTCGAATATGACCTCCATGCACTGCTGGAAGATGCGCGTCTTCTCGGTGGATGAGGCCCACTCTGGCGGGAACGGCAGCACACCAGCCAGTACGTGGCCCGGCTCCTGCCATCGGAGCGCTTCTGGGATGTTGAACAAGCTGATCAGGACAGGCCATGCCGCCAGTCTGCCATTCCTCGAGGCGTGCGTGCTGTCGCTGTACACAATCACACCCAGCACAATGCAGTCCTCCTCTCCAATCGCGGCCTGCACACACGCTGGACCCAGCCGTCAGTGACGCGCGAGCTGCCCATCATCACCCACCCATACGATTGGTACTACATACCCGTGCTTCTTCCAGCCACTTCCCCGTGTCGGGAGTGTTGTAATGCCGCACTTCCTTCGTGTCTTCCTCGTCCTTCCGAGGCTTTGTCACAAATCCCGCGATGTGGTGGAATGCGCGTAGCAGTTTTTTCACGAGCTGCCACAAGCATGCACACGAGTGGTCACTGGTCTGCCCATTTCCGCGGGGAGACAAACCATCATGCAGTCGCCCAGATTCCAATCGCATGTACCCATGTACTCACAAGCTCAGTATCCCGGTAGTGCAGCAGTAGCGTACACATCCTGCCTCTGGGGCCGTAGCACTTGATGTCCTTCGTCATCCATGGAACCTGATCACGCGGCGCCTTGTCGCGCCCAAAGCGTCTCACGTCCACGAAATTGAGCCACCGCCTCACGTCTCTCAGCGAGAAATTAGGGTTCTGAAAAATGGTGAGCAGTCTGTTCACCTCCCTTCTGGACAGACCTGCCTCGCGGAAGAAGATCTACATCTCGATTAGAGTGTTGAAGCCGTCGTCAATCACTGACATAACACTCTCATCGCCGTCGCTATCCTCTTCTACGCCGTCGGGAGGGTCGGGTTGATCGGTAACTGCAGCCGGTTCCACTGCGGCCCTCTCAGCAGCGTCGCCTCCATAGCTGCGACGAGAACGCGCGGGTGAACGGGGCCTTGCTGCGCGCCGAGCACGCAGCGCGTCCCGATACGCCTCCACCAGCCGCTGGGCACGAGAGTGTTGTATCTTCCTCCTGCACTTGACATTCTTAGACACATGCGACTGGAGCGTGTTGTCGTCTACGTGCTCCAAACCGCTTGCCTCGCATGCGTTACCCAGCATCGCAAGAGGTGGCGCGAACCCTAATTGCAAATTACCGATAAACACTGCCACTCTGTCAGAACCTCTAATGTACCAGCAAACACCTCTGTCATAGTACGACCACCCGAATCGGTGACGCTGACAAAGTTCACGGTGTAATACGGTGAATGTGTACCCATTTTTTTGTATCATTGCATCTAACTTATCAAGCATGAGATATCATCGGTTTTGGACGGTTGAATTGGCCCTTCACACCGAAAGCTCTTCCCCATCATATCATCGCTCTGCCACTGGGCTCAATGTACAGCTCAACCTATCCAACATGACCGCACCCGAACGACCCCCCAACACTTCACTGTACACTGGCACCAACCTGGCCACTGATCTTACACGTTATCGCCACTGTGCGGATGTTTGGTGGCGCACAACGTCCGAATGACGTTACTACATGTGTCTACACCTCTAACGTGTGTGGGCAGGAGTGCGGAAGGATGTGCTTACGTGGCGGATAATGTCCGTGTACAATGACGCTCTCAGTCATTCCAGCGTCCATCCAGAGTAAGCTATTAGAGCTTGTATTCGCGGCACTAAGTCAGTTGGTGTACTCCATCTCTCAACCATGGCTGAAATGGCCATGCTACTGGCTCAGATAAAGGCTCATCCAGACGACGTGTACTGCTTCGTTGAGGAGCCTCTCTTACCCACCAGGCTCCCCTTCCTTCACTCCGAGAATGGACACGATGATCCGCTGCCCGGCTGGCGCATCAATGTCTGCTTCCTGTTCAATGCAACGGGGACAATCATGTGTCCGCCTCTTCTGATATTCCGCGCGGACGACGCGCGGGCACAAGGCCTTGAAACACCCCAGGATTTTACCGTGTTCGTGCGTCACACCGTGGACGGGTTCGTCACGCCCGAGGTGCGAGATCGTCTGCTCGTACCCGGCCTAGTTTGTGGAATGCCGTTGCATTATAATCATGCAATTCCATATGCTAACACGACTGCCCCGTCATCGCGTGCTTCTCTTGCCAGATATTCAGCGAGTACCTGGAAGCGTTGAACGGACGGTTGTACTCTACGGACGACCATGTAATCGTTCTCGTGACTTCGGACGCCCACTCGTCAACGGATCCAGCTGTTATGGAAACGACGGAGTACGGTTACCGCGTTCAAAATCTGAGAAACCTCCGAATCATCCACATGCAGGGTCCTAAAGCGCCTGGGTGCATCCATCCCGGCGTGTGCGGGGTGGTAGAGCTGTGGAAGACGCTGTACCGTGCCTCATACCTTCGCCATCTGATGATGTCACAAGCGTGGCGCGACGGGGCATTGTTCCGATACGCCCCTCCCCTGTCCATCATTGTGGACTGGATGGGTACAAGGTGGAGGGACTTGACTCCGGTTTCGGTCCATCTCAGCTGGTGGCGCGCCGGCTGTGTGCCGGCATCACGGCGGTCGTCTGTGAGAGAGTTCAAAAACCCCGTTCTCTGTGTCCTGTCCGAGCCTCTTGTTCAGGAACTGGGACAACTGCAGTACATCATAGACGAGTTCGCACGGCCAGGCCACACGCTCATGCATGCCACTGATTATGCGCACTGCGAGCTGACCCTTCTCCCGCCACGCGTGCAGCGCACAATGAACGACAGCCCGCGCCGAAGACGGCTGCGAGATAGCACTGCACACGCAGCCAGGGCCGCTACTGAATGGCCATCGTTGTCGCAGGCGGGTGGCGCGCGTCGTCACTGAATACCTTGTCCGTCAGGCACTAAAGCTCGGCATTGATGTGCGGGACGCGCCCGAGCGGTTTGGCGCGTCTAACGATCTGGTCGTCAGTCGTCTGCGTCGGACGCCAACCAAGCGTCCCCGTCCCTCAACTGTAACTGTTATCTGATGTGCAGCGACCACGGATTGAGGCCAGCTGATCTCGGAGTAATGGTGCGAGGGGGTCTAGAGTCTGGTTTGTAGGAGTGTCAACGGCCGTCTGTGACGTCCGCTGGAGAGTGACGTGCTACGGGGTGTCATATGCATCAGAGCAACTATGGTATTGGATGTAATGTCTATTATGTTCTTGCGAAACAGTGTAAATCGAGAGCATGTAGATAGGGTTTGATTGCCACCTCGGATGTGCGAAACGAACCAACGCCACGTGGTGGTAGTCCATGCTTCCCGCGAGTGTGGCATGTTTGTGGAATGTTTTATTCGTAACGAGAATAAAGCTGAGTGTTTAGTGAAAACCGAACATTAGCGAGTATGAATCACACCCAACCACTCTTGCAACCTCGCAGCCACATGCAAAGTAAACCCCAATTCCCCACCGAGGACTTCATGCATGATGCGAAATCATGACACGTGTGCCCGTCATGCATATTCACCGTTCGGCGCCTATTCCGACACAGCTGGATCTGGCGCGCTATGGTTCTGGCGCGCTATGGTTATCACGGGGTTCCTTGTTCCAGTCTGTAGGTCTCTGAACATCAAACGACTCCGCAAAGCTTCTTTGTGTTCTGCCTAATATATTCGTCCGATGAGCGGCCATTACTGCAGACACGGTTTTGGACGCTAGAATCCCTGTAACATGTATTACTGGCTACCACCACAGTACGCGACTGAGTCTACTTAGTGCCCACCATGAACATCCAACGCATGCTTGTGCAGCGGGACAGCGTGTCCTGCGCGGCCAGTGCCCTGACCACTCTGTCTACGGAGCAGGATCGCCGTAAGCGCAAGGTGAAGCAGGAGTTGCCCCGCCCCCGTAAGGTGACATCGGCGGGCAGAGGTGTGAGGGGCGCAGGAGAGGTGCCGCCTCCGCCAAGCGACGATGTGATTGCCCGTCTTCAAAGGCCCAGCTATCAGTGCGATTTCCAGCCGTTGGCGCTTTACGGACCCCATGGAGTGGGGTGTCAACTGCCAGCACAGGACGTCCTGACGCTCGCCGACGGACAGTGTCTGGCGGACACAGTGGTGGACTTCCACAACATGTAAGCACCGGGGAACGGTGTGCCTTATACATGCTGTATGTCCTGTCTTCATATATATTATGACGAACTATATCTTGCATATGTGTGTTACAGACTACTTAACATAAGGTACCCGAAGCTGGAAGGCGGCAAAACATGGTTTCCTATGGACACGAAGGCGTTTACGTTCGCGAAAGACCTGAACAGGGCATGGCCCCTTGGACATGCGCTGTGTATTTTCGCACAGGACTACCTCGCCATCCCAGTGTACTACGAGTAAGGCATATTCCTCCAAGAGATCATGCTGTTGTTAGTTGCCGCGTTCCAGATCAGTCGATGTCGAAACGCGTTCCCTAACATACAACATGCGTACATGTGTCAGGGGCCACAACTCGCTGGTCATAGCGACGAACCTCCGCACCATGGTCAGCGGGAAGCTATCCGAGACTGCCGAGGGCGGCGTCGAGCTGGTGCATTACGATAGTGCACAGTTGCACACTAATAAGCCAGAAGTGATGGAGGGCGTCAAGAGGTGAGCGGTGAATCTTATATTTGTGCCCTGACCAATCATGATAAATTCCGTTGATGCGATATATAACGAACACCGGTAACGTGCTTCATTTGCAGTATGCTGCTCCTTCTGCACAAAGCTAAGCTGCCCACTGCCGACCGGAAGCAGGCGGAGGACCATGTGGAGTATGCCGAAGTCTACGTAATGCATGTGAGTGCACTTCATGTCGCATCCATGTCGCGGGCACTGTCTGGCGCGTCGGTCAATTGACGTGTGCCTTCTCATGTAATGTGTTTCCTGGCAGCCGGAAGACCACCCACAGCAGTCGAACGCGGTAGACTGTGGGATTTATGTTGGCATGTATCTTCGCGCCCTGGTTTCATCCGGCTTTTCAATCCTCAAACAGTTCATGACGTTCTACGGCGCGAAGTCCCACGCATACCGGCGCCAGCTCCGCGAGGAGGTGTCCCTCCACGCCACAGGTGACCTTATTGTGAAGCTGTTTGGGGAGGGTGTGGATGTTCCCGTGCAGCCTCTTCCCCAGGTGGGAGAACACGGCGCCCTTGTCTTTCCCAAGGAGGACGAAGTCCGCACGGACCTCGCGAGGCAGTCAGGCATGATAGCCCGTATGGAGATAGGGGGTTACGTGTTAGAAGCCTAAGATAACTTAGGACTAGGGTTTAGGGGTGAAAGTGCAATGTCGAGAGAGTTTAGCCAAAGAGGGGTTTCAATAATGGAAGGCATACAAGTATAGTCAAGGAAAAGGGCAAATGGTGCACCACCAAGTAGGAAACTAATATAACTACACTAGGCTCTACTGTAGGCATTTATAAATGTATACGAATACATTTCAACACACCCCCTAAATGCCTACAGCTAGAACCGTGTGCAGTACACCTCCTGCAGGGGTACACCAAGTGATGAGAAAGCAGTAACAGCGGGCAAGAGCAGTGGCAACCGGTGCAGTGGTGGCAGATTCAGCTGCACCAACCCCTCAGCCAAGGTAGAAGCAGCAGAAGCAGGTGCATGTGGCGGCAGGTCGCCTGGAGAGCAAGTGCATGCGGCGGCAACGTGCGGCGGCACAGCAGGGCTCAACGGCAGCACCTGCCGCTCAACAGCAGTAGACAACAGAAGAAACAGCAAATGGAGGCAGGGGCGGCAGTAGAAGGTGCCACGGTAGCAACGGGCAGCATCTGCAGGTGCCTGGCTGACTTCCGCCACCACCTCACCCTCCCCCCCACAGCGGCACGCGCGGCTGTGGGAGAGAGAGGAGGAGGGGCAGCTGCTGGCTCGGCAGAATCTCTCTCGACACCCCCTCACATTCTCTCCCTTTCCCCTCACCCTCCCCCCGCAACCTCTTCCCCCCCTCACGGCGGACCCCGTTGAAGGGAGGGGAAGGACGGGCTGCACGCAACTCACACCCGCCACCCCCACAACTCCCCCCCCCACACAGCGGAAGCTGCGGAAGGGAAGGGGGGGGCGGTGTAAGCTGCTGCTGGCGCTGGCGTCGTCGCTGGCGCTTGCGCAGGTGCTGGCGACGGGCGCTGGTGCTGGCGCACACGACCGTGCTCGGGTGCGCATGGTCGGACGCGGCTGCGCGCAGCAATGCGTGGCTGTACGCAGCTGCGCGCGGCTGCTGCTGTGGTCGTAACAGAACGGGGAGGGGCAGGCGATGCGCGCGACGAGCAGGGCGCAACAGGCGCGACCGGGAGGGCGCCACGGACGGGACGGGCAGGGACGAGGCCGCATCTGACGCCGTCGCGCAGCTCGCCGCCGAGACCGTTTCGACGGTCGCGATCGTTGCAACCGTCGTAATTACGGCCGCGACGGGGGGCGTGACGAGCGCCATGAGCGGGGGGATACGTGGTGGGCCCATGGGGAAAAAAAACAAACAGGTCTTAGGACGACGTAGCTCTTAATACCATGTTAGAAGCCTAAGATAACTTAGGACTAGGGTTTAGGGGTGAAAGTGCAATGTCGAGAGAGTTTAGCCAAAGAGGGGTTTCAATAATGGAAGGCATACAAGATATAGTCAAGGAAAAGGGCAAATGGTGCACCACCAAGCAGGAAACTAATATAACTACACTAGGCTCTACTGTAGGCATTTATAAATGTATACGAATACATTTCAACATTACGTTGTGTGTGCGGCTGTCATGGGCCTGGCACGTTCGCTAGGCATTTCGGAGGAACAAATGCTGAGTGGAGCGGCACACGAGCTTCAGGCACACGGGACGCCTCTGCTGGCTCTGTCCACGTCCAAGAACCCCGTGGAGCACGCAGCATCTATGCGGACGCTCGGCATGTCCATCCACCCGGCTCCATGTCCGCTTCCGCAGCCATCAGTCCCGTCTGCGCATTTCGAGGGGGCGTCACCCAGTAATGGTGAGCCCACACCTGCTGATGTCAGGCCCAAGAAGGAGAAGCAGGATCTCCCAGCCGCTCCCGTGACTCCGGCACCACAGCCGATGGTCTCGCGCTCTGCCAGGTATCGCCTCCGTCCGGGGATCAAGAATGCAGGACGGCCCGCGCGTCAGACCAGCATGCTTACCGTGTACGGTGGGCGGCCTGCATCCAGCCGCTGGACAGGTGTGAGCTGGTGCGCACGCGGCCGAAAGTGGGGTGTCAAGATGGTGTGCGGCCCAGGCACAGGTCAGCAGATTCGGCTGGGCGCATATACTGTGGAGCTCGATGCGGCGTATGCGTATGCCGCGGCAGCCTTTGTAATCAGGCGTAATGACCACATCCAGCACGTGAAGGAGCTGACGGACGAGGAGAAGGAGTGCCTGGTGGAGTGTGTTCGCGACGACTTGCGTCATCTGGTCAAGGCACGGATGTGGTGGAGGTGGCGTCAGTGGAGGACAGCGCTGGCAGAGCTGGGCATCGAGCCTGGTACTCCATGCCCACTGGAAAACAGTGGCACTCGGTCGCCGGACAACAGCAGCAGCGATGAAGACGTGCAAGACAGGATGGGTCATGGTGTGGAGACGGTGTGCGATTAGGCGCAACGGACATGGAGTACGTATATGTAGTGGCACGGAGGCATGAACTGGAACTGGCACATAAACTGGACGAGGCTGCTAGCTGTGCTTGAGGCAGACTTACTGACGTTGGACCTGTATAGGAAGCATCGTTCTATGTGTGTCTTGTGATGCTAGATGTAGTACTGTCTCCTGTTGTGTGGAGTCAACTATGCGCTGATGTCGCACTGTGAGTATCAAGCAGGCTGGCGCATAATGAACATTATCCATTGTCTGAGTACACAGTCGCGGATGACTTTTACGAGCTTCACACAATGTGTTGCATTTGTACGATTGGCGTGACTCTATAACGCGATATGTGGATAACTTTGCATCAGGGTTGAGCCATGTGGGCAAAACCCGCCTGTCCGACAATTGATGGCCACGTGTAATGGGGGGGTAACGCACAGACGCACGATTGGCGTGAACTCAGAATGCGTAAGTAGTGGACAATGTGTCCGCCAAAGTCATTCATGCCCACAACTTTCGTACACAATGGACAGTTTCACCGTGTCGTCACGTGAGGGGAGGAGTCAGCGCGTGTCACAGCCACCTGCCTACCTACGGAACTCTTACCTTCTGCCTGGGAACGTTAGGCGTAAGGTGACGAAGAAGCCTCGCCTGGATGTTTCGAAGCATGCCAACGAGCAGCAAGCCAGGGGTCCTCCCTCGCCGCCACGTGAGTAATCAACCCCAGACGCAATGCCAATGTGTTTGCCGCTTCGTCTGTTGTTTCCCGGCCTTTTTCGATTATCCGCAGCATGCACGTGTGTGTGTTGTCACTTAACTCCGTTGTTTGTTTACTGGTGTGAGATGCAGCCGTGCCACCGTCTCATGGGACTCGGGCGGACTCGCGTATGTCGCATGGGAGCACTTCGGAAGGTAGTTCCTCATCTGCACAGTCAAGCCGGCAGGTTGACGGAACAGCTGCTTCCAGCGGAAAGGCTGGTCGCAGGCGCAAACGTCCTGTTCAAGACGTGGTAGAGGGCTCTGCACGAGTGGACGGGGAACCCGACGCACCTCCGGCGCCATCATCGGACGACGATCCAAACGTGGCTCTCCCCAGACGTAACCCAGTCTACGCTCAAGACGAAGATGGTGCGGAAGCGGAGAACAATGCTGATGCCGACGCAGAAGAGGATGACGCCGGCGCGAGGCGTGATCCCAATAACGCACCGGTCACTCGTGAGGAGCTGCAGAGCATGAGGGAGCTCCATGAGGAGACGGCACGTGCGATTGCAAGGTTGGAGACAGCGTTCATTGCGAAGCCCAAGGAAGACGGCAGTGCTAAGAAGAGGAGGAGGCGCAAGCGCGGCTCCGGCAAGGGAAAGCGCCGGAAGGCGCGGCGGGCATGCTCCACGTCAGAGACGGCGTCCGATGAGGAGGGGGGGTTCGACGACGAGGACGAGGGCCACCTTCGTCACTCCCCATCTGCCATTATGCAGGAGGCGCTTGACCTACTCCCGACCGTCAAAGGCTGGAAGGTAACATGTGTGGGAGAGTGTGCCGTATACAGAGGGGACCGTGTGTGGCGGTTGCTGACGTAATGTATGGTCTTACATGGCAGGAATTATGTGAGCAGGCGCGCACCGAGCTGTTCGTTCGGCGCTCCAACGCACAGCTGACGTTCTACCCCCAGCAGCGCCGCCAAAACTTGGGCCATCTGTGCAGTCGTGGATAACCTGACGGAAAGCTATGCAAGCGTGGCTCTCGCGGCGTGCAAGGCACGTCGGGTCGACCTGAACAGGTCGTGCAGCGACTGGAAGACAGCGGCGGCAGGGAGAGTCCGAGACATCGGCCTGCCGAAGATTGGACTTTTTCGCCACGAACGAGACATGAAGAGTCCATGGGCGACCAAGGCGAGGCGCACCCTCTCCCGGATCCGAGATAGGCTCGGCCTTGGCGACGTACCGGCGGGTAAGGGGGTGCTACAACAAAAAGGGAATTAGGGAGTGATTTACATATGCATAGATAACCGTCATCTAATGGGCGCTGTGTTAATGCGTTACGTGGCAGGAAAGCTGCGGCTGTCTAGCTGGAGTTGCTCCCGTGAAGCGATGCCGTTCGCGTCTGGGGCGTTTACGGCCTGCGCGCGTGCGGTGTTCAAGCCAAGGATGGTCAACGGGACTGTGACACTGAAGCTCTACCACGTGGCATGGCTGGAGCACGTGGTACGCAAACACCGTGGTCATTTAGACTACCGACAATACCTGGGCGAGTGTCCTCACGTGCGCGTGTATGTGGTTTGCCGTGCGCAGGTGACAGATGCGGTCAATCACTGGGAGGAGCGCCAGGGTCGCTTCGCCAACTCCGCGAGCACCAACGCGCAGATAGTGGACGGCCTCCACGTCCTTGTCAAGGCTGCTGTTAGGGCCGCCATTGCGGATTTCCGACCAGCATACGACGAGGCGTCCCAGAGCTGGGAGTGGGGCCGCCATGGTCTCCGCATCTCGGCCGACGGCATCGCCGCCGTCGAAGCAGTGACCGCAGAGGCAAGCGTCAGTCGCGGTACTCCGCAGGCCTAATCAGGGGAACAACAGGAGGCGATGCGTGCCATCGTATGCCGGTGCGAAGAATTGTGGATAAACCATATATATAATGCATGTGTGGTGGTGGAGTAAGGGAACGACGGTGGGCATTGTGAGGCGGCCATTGCCAAGGAGGTGTGGCCCGGCTTCGGCCTCGCATACTAGCGTCGTAATGTTTGTGTGCGTATCTATTTTGACGGAACAAGAGAGCCTGGAAGATTTATCGTACACGTGTTCATTAGTATGCGAGGAAGATAACCAGTCAACCAGACTGCAGATTGCATAATGAGGCAGACACTACTGCGCACGGCAAGAAATGGTCACAACCGCATAATGCGCGTCGGATGTGTGCCGTTGGATGCGGGTAGATAGTGGTGGCGATTCGGCTCGGGACGGTCCAACCCACCACATCGTATGGCTGTGCGTGCCTATGCCTACTGGAGCCGTAGATGCGACTGCAGCGGCAGGCATATGTACCGTTGGATGTTGGTGTGGTAGACGGTCGAGGGCGGGACATATGGACCAGCATCGTTGGCGCCGTGTAACGTGTACTTTGGCCACGTGGGCCTTCATTTACGGACGGGAGTAATCACACGTCAACAATGGTGAGATACTGCTGGCGATCGAGACTGCGATATATTGTCGATGCGTGTGTACGTGTACGGTCAGATGCACAGGTAGCTTACACATGCATAGATCAAGACATAGTTACAGCCGTACACCTGGTACCTAATTCAACGGCATCCGACGAATCCACGTAGTGGGACGAATCCACGTAGTGGGGATATGAGGAAATCATGGGCATTGGTCACATCGGACGACAACAAAGGGTGTGGATGCAATTCCAGGTTGATCGTGGTCGTCCACGTGAAGGCAGTTGGTTGGACAGGACCATGGTTCGTGTCGCTTTGTATTGTACAAGTACTGTAACTGACGGTATGTCACGCTGACGTCATGGTCGCCACGTGTAAGGTTCTCGTAAGATTGCGTCTAATTGTGGCATTTGTTATTCACCCCACCGAGAAGTTCCAGTGGTGACCGGTGCGTGACTTGCATGTGACCGAGCAGTGACGGTGGCTGGGACGCGGGAGAAGCTTTTACGTGACATTTCCGTGACATCGCCGTCACATTGGAAGTGACGGTGAGTTCGGTACTTTCATCCATCACCTTTTTACCCCAAAAAACCGTATACGAAAATGTGACGGAAATGTCACATTTTCGTAACTTCTGGCCCTTGGCTTTTCCGCCATGTATCCGTCGCCGCACAGGAGCGAAGCGCAGCAGCCGTCCATGATGGACTCGTACTACCCATCGGACGCCGCGTTAGCGTCGTTTGCGCCGTTTGCGCTGGCGTTTCGTCCGCCGAAGGTGCTTTCTGGCAGCTCCACGCAACCTCCCCGCGCCACAACCGCCGCCGCGTCCGCTTCTCGCGGCGGTAGTTCCGCCTCCGTCCGCCGCGGGGACGCGCCGTCGACTGCCCACAGCCGTGCGCTTTCCGCCACTGAGTGCGAGAAGCTCTTGCTCGCCTCGGCCCCCCGCGAAGACAAACCCGCCGCCTGCGCGTTCCGCCGCCGCCGCGACCAACTCGCGGCGCGTTCCCAGAAACTCCCCTCTGAAGCCAACGCAGCCACTGCCACAGTCTTAGAAATTCGGGCAGCAACAAACAGTTTCTCCTCGGCGCAACCTGCGAGCTCGAGCCCCAGAAGCTTTCAACACGGGAGCTTGTTTTTCTTTCCTGCAGACGAAGGCACGAGGAAGCAGCGTGCAGATGGTGCAGAGGATGCCATGCCGTCGCCTCGGGTATTTGCGAGGAGTAAAGCGTATTCCACTCCGGCGACCGTGGTGGCCCGTCACACATTGGCGACTCAAGGAACGCCGAACTTTCACTTGGTAGCACCGCAGTCAGCAGCACAGAGGGCATCGAATGAAGCTGCAGAAACAGTATTAAATGCAGCAGCAGAGACGGCACCATCCGCAGCAGCACAGGTGGCATCAGGTGTGCTTTTGAGCGGATTTGCCTGGTCGTTCTTCTCGCGGATTGCCTCCAATGGATGCCAGGCTAGTTGCACTGCCAGTGCACTCAGTGTCACGCCCAGTAGCAGCACCCTTGCTTCTCCCACTTGCTCTGCCTCGTCCCCTGCTGCAAGAGCCTACACCAGCTACAGTGCTCCTTCCTCTCCCACTTCCCCACTGCCTTGCACTGTGCCCAGCCGCACCTGTAGTCCACCCACCAGCAGCAGTGCACCCACCACCAGCAGCAGAGTACCCACCAGCAGCAGCAGCAGTGCTTCCACCAGCAGGCGGGCAGAGTCAGAGGCTGGGAGGTACCAATCAGTGCGTGTCAAGCCGTGCCTCACTGCTCCCTCCAGCACCTTTGGGTGCAGCTCTGAGGCAGGCTCGCCTAGCAGAAGCCCCAGGCGCGTGAGCTTTGTGAAATATGTGGAGACTGGAGTATGTTGCCTAGGCAGATGGAGCTTCTTCTGGTCCTGTCAGAGTGTCTACATGCGTGTGGTTGTAGGTGCTGGTGCATTCTACTCAGGACTGCCATTTTGAAACCAGGGTTCAAATATCCTTGCCCGGAGGAAATACTTTCAAGAGAACGCGGCCCCATTTGATTTGAAACGTTGCAGTTCATTCCTTCGCCTTGGATTCATTTGTGGAGACGCACGAGGCAGTCTCATAGGCTTTTGTGACACAAATTCGGGGGAAACATCTGGAAGTCAAACACTAATCCTTAGCCCAGTATTAGAGAAGTACAAGTCACGTAAGTCCATGACTCAAAATTTATACCCTGCATACATTTCCTTTGTTGGGCTGAGAAAAGGCCCTTAGGATCTTTGCAGGGGTAAATTCGGGTAGGACAATTGTAATAGCGGAAGCGTTAATGAAGAGTTGTGAACCACCTTGCGCTGGTATGTGAGGGCAAAGTAAGTTGATTAAAGCAAAGAGATACAAGCATTTATATATGAGTACAAGGAATATGAAAGGATACGGTTATAACTACTTTACTGTTGCTGTTGCGGTTCGATACAGTGACGACTCGGGCAACTGCTCTGTAGCGAGTCAGTTGTGTGTCCTTGCTGTCGTGCTGTACTTGTCAGGTCAAAGGTCGCTGACCTTTGACTTTCGCGTAACCTCCAGCAACCTCTTTCAACCTCCGAGGGTTGACTCGTGTGTGCCTCGACATGGTTCGCTTCGCTTCTGGTGCGATGTTTCGACACGACAGAGGCGCTTAGGATTTACTGTTTCCAACACTCCCCTTCGCTTCTGGAGTGTCACAGCTGGTGACGTGGCTTTGTCCAGTCAGCAGCATGCAATACTCAAACTTCTGCTTTCCGAGCTTCTTGGTCAAATAGTCGGCTGCCATCTCGGACGTGGGGCAGTATGACAGCTCGAGTCTTCCCTTCTCGATCTCGTCCTTTACGAAGAAATAGCGTAGGGCGATGTGTTTCGTCCTGTTCGCGAAGCCGCTTTTGTTGGCGATGCGAATTGCTGACTGGTTGTCGCAGAACAGGGTGAAGTTGGGTAACTCGGCTAATTTCGCTTCTTCCAGTAGCTCGCGAAGGTAAAGTCCTTCTTTGGTGGCTGAGCAGAGTGCAATGTATTCTGCTTCGGCTGATGAGAGTGCGATTAACTCCTGCTTGCTCGACTGCCAGGAGATAGGACCGATAGGTTCAAGGCGATAGATGTAGCCGGTGCGCGAGCGTCTGTTGTCTGAGTCACCAGCATGATCTGCGTCGACGTAGCCGATTAACTTAGTCGGTGTAGTTGCGTTCTTGTGGTAGGTTAGCCCGATCGTCGGGGTGCTAACAAGGTAGTGAAGAGCGCGGTCGAGCTCTGCTAGGTGCTCTGCTTCGGGTCTTTTGAGGTAGGTGGCGAGTTGGCTTGCGGAGTAGGATAGGTCTGGGCGACAGGTGACGGCTGCGAAGAGAAGGCATCCCAGCTTTCTCTGGTAGTCGCGAATGCCGGCAGGCTTGAGTAGAGTAGATCCTCCCTTGTCAGTTCCTGTCGTGTAACGGTATGGCGTGGAGATCGCGGTCGGTGTGAGAGCGAAGCGCTTGGCGATGGTGTCGGCGTACTTTTCGGCGCTGAGGTAGATTGCAGTTTCTTCTTCTCGGATGTTGAGGCCGAGATACTGAGTGACGGTAGACGAGACAGTGAGTGTGAGGTCTCGTTGCAGCTCCCCTTCAACCCAGGTGGTGATTTCGTCAGTTGACCCGATGTAGAGTAGATCGTCCACATAGACGATTAGCAGGACGTAGTCGTCGTTCTTCGTGAGCCGGTACATCCCCTGATCGTGGGGTAGTTGTTTGAAGCCAATGCGGATGAGACGGGCGTGTAGGTACTGCTGCCATAGCCGCGGGGCTTGCTTAATCCCGTAGAGCGATTTCAGTAGTTGACAGACTTTGTTCGGCTCTCCGTTAGTGCCATGCGGTAGTTCCACAAAAATCTCTGCATCGACAGGTGCGTAGAGGAACGCGTTGGCGACATCGATCTGTCGTAGCTTCTTCTTCTTCATGGCGGCGATCGCGAGAAGAATTCGAAGTGAGGTGTGTCGGCTGACCGGGGCGAATGTCTCGGTGAAGTCCCGTCCGTGCTCCTGATCGAATCCACGTACAACCCAGCGTGCTTTGAACTTCTCAATTGTGCCGTCTGCTTTCGTTTTGACGCGGAAGACCCATTTCCCGGTGAGAATGGTCTTGTTTCTTGCCACGCTGATGGGAACGACTTTCCAGGTGTTCCGTTCCTCCAGCGCTTTTAACTCTCTGTCCATGGCTTCACGCCATTTTTCCCTGTGCTCCCCCCCCAGAGCCTGTTGAACCGTCGCAGGCTCCTTAGGAATGGCGGGACCGTGGACTGCGGTGACGAGCCCGAGTATCTGAAGTCCACTCTGTGTGTAGCGGGGGAGTGTGGTGTCCTCGGGATAAACTGCTTCGTCTCCTGTTTCAGGTGTTGGATTGAAATTCGGTCCTACTCGTTCTGCTTCGTTGGTGTTG